TCAATCATTTCCTTTTCGGGACTATACTCTCAACGGGGGCCGCGCGAGGTCAAAAAACTTGCAAGTAAGTGATTCTGGAGACTTCTTGAGGTCCTAGGAAGCCCTTCAAACTTTCTTCCAAAAATTTTTTTTAAGGGTCTCTCGGGGGGGACCGACCGACCGGCATGATACCATCAATTTCTCACGTGCCAACCCCTTGTTTGGTTCTGCAATTCTCGTACTGGTCTGCTAGTTTGGATATTTTCGGTGCGTGCCCACTACAACACCACACTGAGCGCGATCCCTACTAACAATGGCCCCAGCATTCCGACACCAGAGGTGAGTCGTACGTCGGTACGCTGCCATTCTTCTTCCCAGTGAATGTGTCGCAACTTGCTTTGAAATATGTGCAAACTGGTCAGAAAGTAACGTCTGAATTCGAGTTGAACACACTATTGATGGTGCTATTGATCACTGTCAGGTTAAATCCAAGTATCAAAAACTCGCAGTTGGTGCATGCGTCAAATTGATCTATCACGTTCGAACGGCAAGAGACGGCCTTGATCTTGGGCCGATACGTTCTGCTCTGACAGTCAGCAATGATGGCAATCGACCTCCCGCGGCACTTACCGCGAAAATTGGCACCAGCGGCGTGCATTGAGACTCACATCCCATCGCAATTGACGATTCTTACCGAAGCTACGAGGTTGGTCAAATTTGAGGATGGATTTAATCCCCTCAGGCTGTTTCTCGGGACGAAGTTGAAGCACCTTGCTCCTCGAAAACGAACTGTGCTGAAGGTATCATCTGATTCAAATCTCCGGGAAATCGGACCTATCCTTTAACAAGTTTACTCTGCCGTGAAAAGCCGTGAAAACTACTTGGTCAGGCTCGTGTCTAGTTAAGCAAGATCCGCGCTGTCTAGACACATGTGACCATCTAGACAGGAACAGCCGGACCTAGCCATTACCTCAGTGCGCCTAGATTTTGGCCGGTTGAGGGACCGGCTGAACGCAGTGATTGCATGCTTGTTTGTGCAACAAACAGTGGAATTTATTCCCACCTGCCATAGCGATACCCATCCTTCCTCCCTCTCACTACTACCATCCGTCAGACTCCTACCACACCTAGCACCTACCATACCCGACCTATAAAACGAGGAAACCTGTACTACCCAGATGCAAAGGCCTAGTTAGCCCAAGCACAAAAGGGATACAAGGTGTACTCTTAACGGTCCTAGCCTACCTCCTAGCCCACACACACACGTCGCTGACAAGAGGAGCTTGCAACACCTTTGAGCTTGTGTCCTCCTCCACAGTCCCTAGAGGAACCAGTACTGCCCAGATGCAAAGGGACAGCTAGCCCACGCACAAAAGGGATACATGGTGTACTCAGTGCCATACACGAGGCTACTCAATATCCGTGCAACGGCTGGATGCCATGAGCCCAGACCGAGCGGAGTCAAGAGCCCTGCTACGCGCTTCTCAGTCTTCTCTTGAGCCAACTCAATAGAATCTAAAATTTGAAGAGTCGTGCGGGATGTGTCGGACAGCGACGACTCGCCACTGGCCCTATCCAGTCGCTCCACCGCCCCTATCAACAAGTGACCAAGTAAATCTTGTTCCCTCATACTCAATTCTGGACACCAGGCAGCCCTGCGGCTCTGAATGCATCTCAATTGACCCACCGGTATTTTTTCTCTTTTTTATTACTGATCTAGCTGGGGAGGTGTTTGACAGGGTACTCAGGTTGTGAAATGGTGAAAGGAAGAGAGTATCCGTAGCATACAAATGATACATGTATGTAGTATGGGCCCCGGCTGTTTCTTAACGGACTGCGCCGGTATATACATCCTCCTCCTCCTCCTCCTATTACTCTTAACTACTAAGGGAGTTCGAAAGCTATGCAACTCCTTCCTCAACCGTGTCTAGTAATTATTCGTGGAATACATCCAATTCTGTTTCTGGGGTATCTCAACCCCCTACAGGAGACTGTTTATAAGGCTGAACAAGGTCTGTCAAGACCGCGAGCGGTATGTCGGAAGGCCCGTAAACTCTGTTTTCGCTCAGATCAAAATGTTTTGAAGACGGATCTCTTCCACTGGATTACTTGTTTTTATTTTATTTTATTTTTCAAACTAATCTGCACCTCAAAAATAGCTGCACTCTTGGCAGCACAACAGGGAGAAGTTCTTGAACTAGTGACCTATGAAATGGGAAATTATGTTGATAGAGATTCATGTCGGACCCGCTGGTTTCATCTGCCCCCTCTGAGGCCTACTATTCATTTGAGAAAACAAATTGATCGAAGAGAACTCATCCAGATGCTTAGCCGTGGAGCACATTACGATGGGGGATCCCGCAATGTCGCAGGAAGTATAGCCACCGATGGGAAACGGTCCAAGTTCAGGCTGCGGCGAGTGAAAACCCTGTGAAACAGCCATTTTGGGTTTTTAAAACCCTCGGAATCACCGATTTTTTTATCCGCTGGCCCGACTGTGTGGCGACGGTGATCGAAATTTTGGTGTTACTGTAAAGGATGTTTTTGGTCTGCTTAAACGCTTGCCGTGCCTGCTTCATACATCCTCCGAAGTTCATCAGCAGAGAAAATTGCCTGCTCCTGCTGACCATGATATGTATCATTTTAATGTGTGTAACATTGTGCAGTGCTGCCATACCTGTCTGTCGGCATTGGCACTTTGAACATCGAGCGACGCCATGAATACCAATTTAGGTCTCTGCACACAATTTCGAGTCAATCTGAATCGAATGCCGAAGCGGACCTCCGACCAGCCAAGAAACTCTTCGCAGGACACACACTTTTTATCACTCTGTCAGAATCTGTCGGGAATCAGATCTGGCCACATTTATTCAAACCCGTCCCTTCAATCCAGTGCCTATTTGGCAGTTGATGGGCGCCCATCATTCACAGGCCGACTGGGATCATTGACACATCGTATAAAGGACTAGGTGTAAACCTCTACTGCAGTGAAGAACTACATCTCTCAATCTCACAGATCACCACTTGAATTTTTCTAATGAATTACTTGTCCGAACAATAGCTGTTCTCAACTTTATTCAGGCCCGTCACTTTCAATCCAATGCCTATTTGGCACTTGATGGGCCCCCAATAACCTCGACCAGCTCAACCACCACCAACTCACCTGTTGTCGTCGCGCCCTGCTTCACGGCCCTCCCTACAGGCCCCAACCCACCAACCCAAGGCTTCATTGTGATCTACCCAATTCAGTTCCGTCGCAGAGAATTTCAAAATGGGTGATGTGCTAAACAACATGTGCCTGACTGTCCCGGGCGGAGACATTGACGACGGTGTGCAGCTACAGATTCAAGCCGTGCCTCAATCCGGCAAAGAATCGGCAGCTGTTCCGGATGATGAATGGTCCGTCTTCCAGGACCGTTCAAATCGTGTGGGATGCGCAGGGGAAGGTTGGTGCTCCAGTCCGGCTTTGTGAATTGTAATGTTCATTGCTATCATTGGCTTGAAATTTCAAGTGTCTCACAAATACAGGCACCACTGTGGGTTTCCTTGCTCCCTGTCCTGCGATTCAGATGCTGATGCAGTGTTCTATACTAAATATAGGTCACCACCGTGGACTGCAATGGCTCTTCCACCCAGGTATGGGCTACCGACTTCCGCTGTGACGAGGTAGACTTGTTATGTGATGGGACTTTCCTTGCTCCTTTCAGCACAAACTCCGCTATATGTTCCAGGCAGATGAGTCAACTCGAGATACAAAGATTGGAAACCCACATGCTTCAGTCTTTCATGTTCTATGTAGACCTTCATAATTCTGATAAACACCCATATTCAAAGTCACATCGGACTCTCGCCGCGGTTCCACGTTCCAAACGAGAAGCATCCGCAGTTCAAGTCATGTCTGTCTTTCAGGACATTCGCGTGAAGTGGTAGTCTCACAAATGAAGTGTGACTGCACTGAGTTGGAATGTTTGCGCAGTGAAGTGAAGTTCATGAATGACAATGGCGATGAGGGAGTTGAGATTCATTGTCACTACTACCACCTGCGCCCCATCCAGCCAATGCAGAACAGCATGGCTGTATACCGACAATGAGGTAGGGAATTGACTGTCTGTTTCCACAATATGGCTCTCAGCACAGACAGGCAGAGGATGGCACGGATCGAGGATGTTCAAAATTGTTCTCGTAGCATGGGCTGTGGATTCCTCTGGTCTGTCACCTACCACTGGATAGGGGTTACTCCAATCAGGAATGCTCGACAGCCGGAGGGCGTATCCTACGTAAGAGCTGCGGTGGGACAGGACCTATAGCAGGAATGGCGGAGGTGCACTGCCAGCCTGCTAAGATGCTGATGGCAGGTGCGAGGGTGAAGCAGTAGGTCAGCAGCACACTGAAGAGTGTGTGGGGGCCGCTCAGGGTGGCAGCAACGCAGATGGTGCCAGAAAGGAAACGAAGAGCTTGTATGCACCACGGCGGATGGGCAAGGAATGGAGTGCGAGCTGGGGGCTTTCTTGTGCTGCAAGGAACCAGCGATGGGGAGGTTGTCGAGACGGGTGGTGAGTGCAGGGATGATGTTGTCGGTTCAACAGACAACGAGATTGTCGAAATCCATGGACCTGAGAGGGCGCCATTGTGAAGCAAAGGCCGCAGTAGGGTACCCCAAATCTCGTCGAATCCCATAGTAAATATGATATGACCTGGGCACAAGGCGATACTGGGAAGCTACAAGTAGGTCAGCTGAGGAACCAACACAATAGATGGATCTACAGGGGAGGCATGCACAAGTGATGCCAACGACGTAAGGTGGTTGGAGATTAGACCTAGTGATTTGAACAAGAAATGGCCACGATATGTGTCACAAGATCTGATAATTTGTGCTTCTGGGTTAAACCGGCACTCAAGCCATGGTTGGTTGTGTGACTTTAAGTGATCTCTGGCCTCTGGAGCTGATAAAGGGCAAGCTTAGGAAAGGTAGTAGATTTTTTTTTTGGGTAAAAAAAATGCTCGAAGCACCAGCAAAACAGTGACCTCTGCCCGGATCGAACGGACGACCTTCTGGAAGCTGACTAACTAATGGCTCAGTGCTAGAGTCACGTGTCGCTGGAATCAGATGCTCTACCACTGAGCCAAGAGGTCGATATTAGTGGTCCAGAGATGGGTAGATAGGTCCCGAATATCCTAATGCAGCCGAAACGGCAAGAGAATCGGATCACAGGAAACTGATCTGGTTGAGTTGAGCTTCCACAGGTGTTGAGATCGATATTCTGTTTTAGAACATCAGCAGTTATACTACGGTACCTCTTGATCACATCCTATGTTGGGATAATTTGTTGAAGTTACCAAGTCACAGCTACACAGCTGAAAACCGGGTACCAAAAAATTAATTTAACCCCTGATTTTTAAGGGGGTCCCAGCGAGGCTGGCCGTTTGGCTTTACAGTCCAGATGAGCTTACATTGAAGTTACTCCAGAATTAATTTCATGAATTTCGGTGTATGCGTTGTGGAGAAAATGTCCCCGAAAGATTAAGCAGATTTTGATGGGGGAGCCCAGAAGCGAAAAACACGCTACTTTGAAGTGGAACGATGACCAGGATTGGTGTTTTCACTGTGTGGGATTCAAGAGGACCCTCCCTCGCCTCCACTGTACAATTTTTGTACCTGTGCATCTCCAAATGAACTGACTGGAGTGTGATGTTTCCGGAGATTTCATGAAAACTGACTGATGTCAACTTCGCGGGTAAGTTCCTTAGGCCCGCCGGCGCAAAGGACGGACAGCGTTAAGGCTCTAATCATTTATTTTTCGTGTAGTGATCCGGGAAAATTAAACGGAAACGGTTTTAAAAATTTGAAACAGTTTAAAACAGTTTATAAATGGTAATTTTCGGGTACACCTGAGGGGATCAACTATTAGTATCAGGTGTCAGCCATGTGTGGCATCCGTTGTATTCCCTTGGAATTTTACATTCCTACAGCGAGCACATGGGGATCTTACTGACTTCTCAGTTGTGCAATTCATACACACTCACCGGATAGTCCGCAACGGGTGTTGAACAGCTCCAGCCTCCAAGTTCAAGCATCAAAAAAATTGCCTGGTTGTATGCTACACAAACTGAGAACCTTACTCAGGGTATTTACTTTTTTTTTTGCGGGCATTCCGCAAACATTCACGTTCAAGAGCAGACAATCGCGCGCCGCGGCGGTGGGTGATTGCGCATCACTGATGATATTGAACCATCAATTACCATAACGGGAATGTGCCCCGCCGCTGAGCGCCAAAACAGTCAATACACCCATGGTTTATTTCAAGGGGATCAAAATATACCTCAAGAAACATCTTGACATCCAAGATGTACCCAGATCCTCGTCTGTCCAACCCCTCGAGGTGGGTCAACTTCGGCAATCGTTTAACCGTTTAAAAAACGGTTTCCAAACCGTTTGGCCCCTTGACCAAATTAAATGAAAACGAAAACGGTTCAAACCGTGTATAAATGTTTATAAACGGAAGTGGTTGGAGCCTTGGACAGCGTGGAAACAGCCAAGCTGTGAATTCAGTGGATGTCACCTGTTGGACATTCATGGCGCATCAGTCGCGCTGTCGTGGTTAACAGCGTAGGGAATGGCTCTAAGCCGTTCTTTTGTGTATGCTGCCATGCAGCGCAAAGTGCGTTGGAAAACAACAAATTCAGCATGTCAGCCCCTGGCATCCCAGTCAACTTGAAGTATTCTTCCCCAACGAACTTCCTCGTCAGAGGGTTATGGGGATGCAGTTGATGGCAATGAGACGACCTGTGAGTTAACCGTTCGTTAGCACAGTAAGTACACGGAAATGGTGTCCATGGCCAGCCTTACTCCATTTCTTCAAGGGAAGGTCGCAAATGACCGTAGTCGATTCACTGAATATCGAGGTGATATTATCAGATGCGCATTACATCGAGAGATTGCTTACCAGTTGTTCCCTACGACGGAGAGCGGGGAGCAGCTCAACCCAACATCGACTAAAATCCCTGTCAAGTCGAGGCCCACGACGGAAGCGACGGCGGCAGCGGGAACACTCGATGCGGGCACGACGCTGACGCAGCACTGGGGAGAGTTCGGAGGGGTGATCGGGGGAGGGGAAGTCCCTACGGCAGGAAGCGGGAGAAGGGCGAGTGCTGGGACTGGCGACAGCAAGGACCTGAGACAACAGACAATTGTCAGCTCATGAAAATATGTTCGTCGGCGGAGCGTACCATGAGCACCGAGGTGACAACGACAAACAGTTTGGAGAACATTATTTCCTTGATGTGTACTGCGAACTTGAAGGATGAGGAAATGAGTTCGAGTGAGGACTGAGAGAGAATCGGGGTGGTTCTATAGAGTTTGAGGCTGAGTGTCTACATGCGACATCGATGCATTTGTGCAAAGCGAAGCGACAACGAAGTGCAACTCAGGCACTCTGTCACCCCCGTCATGACGATGATAGCAAACTTAAATTGAATCGTACATTCTTGAAGTCTTCGCGTCCACCGGGAAGTGTCATGTCGGAAAATTGATTGATCAGGTCTTGGCGAGACCTGCCCAACATACCAAGACTGAGATGGTCATCAGGTTTGGCGGGGAAGCTGCAGCATACTAGAACCTGTCAGGTCCGGGTCGGGCTTCGTCAGATCCCCCTCTCCGAGGATTAAAAAAATCATGGTGAGGTGTATAAAACAAGCATAGAATCACCTACAGTGTGGGACTGCCTTAAACCGAGGCTGTAGCGAGGTAACATACAGTTTACAAGTATAACACAACTAAGCATAAATCATTATTGTTTCTGTCTATGAGAGACCACTCTCTCTTTTCGGGGAACCTTGCTTTCGGGGGTCGGCCCCTCTTCGGTCCGGAGTTGATCCAAGTCGGCAGAGGGTTGGCTGGGATCCGACATTCATAAAGAATGCTCCACCGTCACACTTGACATGGCGTCTCAACCCCACGTTTTCCCCGTCTTCCATACTTCGGAGATCGAACCGTACATCGAAACAACGATGAGCTATTTCCGGGCCGGAAACTTGACCGCCCAGGCCCTATCACTGCGTTCCCACCCCCTGTAGACACACGTCTGTCGACCTTATCTGATGTGTGTCGCCGCGCGGCGATCTTCGGCTACCTTTGTCAACGGCATTATCTATGCCGCCTTTCGGCGACCTTATCTGATGTGTGTTTACGTGAGTTTACGTGGCGTAGATGCACCGCTTCGAGCCGTCGGCTACCAGAATCTACATGTGTCTTCGCCGTCGACGCACGTAGACCCACCTCGCTCAACCTCAAGATATAATTTTGGCTGTCCTTTCTTCGTTCTATCAATTAAGACAGTGCATCACACCATCTGCCTTTGTGCATCCTCCGGTAATGTTACCGCTGGCCCGGACCGGTCGGGATCAAACACCGCTGCCAAACACACAGCCGTCATCAAGCTGCGGCAATCTACCATATTCCCAACCCGACCTCTCGTCTCGTCAACCACAATTATCACTCCTGTTCGCACATTTTATACCTCGGTCAATGGGCTCAGCTGCATACACCTATGTTCACCTACGTGTGGCTACATGTATTTACGTGCGTCTATGTCTGTTTACGTGCATCTACATGGATGAACCATCGTAGAACAATGTAGAGATGTGTAGACCGATGTAGATGAAGTATATCTACATGGCGTAGACAGAGGTAGAAACTGTGGCCCATCTACCCTTCTTCTACGGGGGGTAGACACACCCTCTGTCTACATGGGGTGGGAACGCAGTGTATTATAACAGATCTCGGCGAAGAACACGAGGTAGCCGACATCATCGACCAGCGCAGACGCGGCCGCGGTTTCCAATATTTGGTGCGCTGGGCCGGCCACCGGAAACGAAGACGCCCGTTGGCTCCCCGGACGCGAGGGTCGCCCATCTCAACGCACTTCGCGACTGGCTCGACTCTAAGGCCGCTCAATCCGGACCCATCGCTTCGATTGCGCATACCGATGCGCTCCGCCATTGGCTCGACTTGTTGAAGGACGACGAAGCGCCGGCCGGCGAAACCTTTCTTTTCACCTCGCAGTCGGGGGGTCAGCCCATAGCGGCCCGGCTTTAATGTCGCGACATACCCTCCGGGCATGCATTTTGTCTCGGATACTTACCTTAGTTTTCTCTTTCTGGTTGAATTGGCGCGGTACATGGGCTTTTTCAAAGACGGGGAGGGTGTAAACCCGTTCAGTGACCCCTACTCACATCACGATTTTACTTACGTGTTACGTCACGTCACGACTGACTAGTCTCCCTTACTTCACGCCACCATTCCGTTCTCCCTGTATAATTCTCTCTAGCTTCTTGGAATCCATACTCGGGTCTTATATTCTTTCTGGTTCTGTTCTTGAAGCTTTCGTGGAAACTTGGTGCCGAGTCGGCAGAGACAGGGGGTTTAGGTGTTGCCCACCCTTCCGCTTGGCACGGGCCCGGGGCCCCTCAATGAGCTCATCGCGGTCGCTATTGGCCTCGGTGTCTTTCTTTTCAACATTCCCCTTTAATGTCCCCTGGGACAGCGGGAGAGTATCATCGGTAGATGAACTCCCCGGATATCCCAACTTTCTTCCGAGAAATGTTGCACCTGGACCTGTCATATTAATCAGAAGCATTAGGCACCGAAAGAGGTACTTACCATCTTTTTCTGTGATAGCAAACTCGACATCAATCCATCGGAGCAAGTCTGCGAGGTCCGTGATTGCAGGATGCTAACTTACCACAATATCAAAGAACTGATAACGAACACGAACGGGAGTGCACACATTGCCCAACATATCAGACCAGCCATCTTCATGAGACATGACAACGGTTGCGTTCGGGGTCCTGAGAGCATTATTGTGAGAGATATAGGGGAGAAAATGCGGTCCATAATGAAGTAATACCTTACGGATAATGTGTTCATTGACCAGCTTTGCAGGATTATAAACCTGTGGACAGGTCAGCAGTGGAAGGTTCTCGAAGATAGAAAAAGTGGAGCCTTGTTAGAGCTGGGAGAAATCTCGGATAGCACGACCTCTTCATGTTGTCCATGGTGTTTACGTCCTGTTGTGCTGCCCCAAAAGAGCTCCAAGACCAGAACCCTGGCGATCGGTTGGAACTGGCGACATAAG